ACAAGAGACTCATGCAGTCTCTGTAGACGAAATGTCCAGCTGGTTTCGTTCCACCGGCTATGAATGTGCCTCATCCCCGGGAACAAATCGTTCTCGTGGGGTGGCCATTCTTTACCGCTCTTCTCTCCAAGTCACTCGGCTTTGGAGTGATGATGTTGGCCGGTGGGTTCAAGCAGAGTTCTCTTGTCAGGATACGGTGTTTAGGGTCGTCTCTCTGTACGCTCCTAACCGTAATCCTGCAAGAGATTCCTTTTTCACCAAGGTACAASATGCAGTCGACCCGGGTATTCCTGTGATACTCGCGGGCGACTTTAATTCTGTCTTGGACCGTCGTGTTGATCGCAGGGGATCGGCCCCCCTCAGCACGTACTCTGAGAGTTCGGGAGCAATCCTGGACTTGATGAATGCTGCTGACTGTCATGATGCGTGGAGACACCTTCACCCTCGTGACAGTGGTTACACGTGGACGAAMCCAGATGGGTCTCTCTCCTCCCGAATCGACCTTATTCTCTTTCCGAAACCGTGGGCCCACGAGATGGGTGGGGCGAACATCGTGCCCTGCCCATACTCTGATCATTCTGCCGTCACTCTGAGCTTCCACGTCCCGGATACCATCGCCTCGGGACCCTCGTTTTGGAAGCTCAACACATCCATCCTGGATGAGCGCGAGTACCAGGACCTCATTGAGGCCTTGTGGGGGCAATGGCAAACTCGTCGCCACGAGTACCCTTCCCTTCAAATGTGGTGGGATCTGGGCAAGATCAAGATCAGGGACGCCACTGTTACCTACTGTAAGGCACGTGCTTGCAAAAGGCGCTCTGAGCGTCAATCCTTTTTGGATGAGCTGGCCTCTCTTCGGTCCCAATTCGATCTGGGTCGGACTTCTGTTCTCTCTCGCATGAAACAGTTGGAGAGTGAACTTCGCGCATTTGACCTGGATGCAGCTCGCGCTGCCCAGGTCCGTGCGCGTGCGCGTTGGGTGGAAGAGGGCGAGTCCTCGTCCTCTTACTTCTTGCGTCTTGAGAAGAGTAGGGGGCGTAGACAGCACATTTCTGCTGTCCGCAAACCTGATGGACAGGTCGTTCGCGACATGTTTGACATCTTGGCGACCTGGAAAGATTTCTATCGAGATCTCTTTATAGCGTCGCCTGTGGACGTCCAGATTCAGGACGACATGTTTTTGAATCTGGAGTCCAAACTCTCGGACGCTGAAGCCGCCTCCTGCGAGGGATCATTAACCCTTGATGAAGCCTACGTGGCTCTCAAGGGTATGGCTAGGGGTAAGACCCCCGGCCTTGATGGTCTCCCAATGGAATTCTACA